GAGGAGCCCACAGGTGAGAGACTTTAAACAGAGAGAGAGACTTAGGAGAGAGAGAGAGACTTGAGGTCTTACAGAAGAGTATTGGATTTTAGAAGAGACTGAATTTTTTTTATTATTTTTTTTACAATTTATTCACTTGGATCCTAATTTTAGCCCCTCCCTCATCTCCTCCTGGTCGCACTCTTCCTCCATCTTCCCCCCTATCCCTCTCCCCTTCTGCACTGAAAAGGGGGAGCCTTCCTGTGCTATTATCTGACCCTAGCCTATCAGGTCTCATCAGGACTGCCTGGATCCTCTTCCTCTGTGGCCTGGCAACGCCACCCCACCAAGGAGAAGTTGCCTGAGTTCATGTCAGAGTCAGGCCCTGCTCCCCTTATTAAGGAACTCATTTGGAGACTGAGCTGCCATGGGCTACATCTCAGCAGGCCATCTAGGTCCTCTCCTTGCATGGTCCTTGGTTGGTGCATCAGTCTCTGCAGCATCCCCCCTCCCCCATCATGGAACCAGATGTTTTGGGCTTTCTTGATCTCCTTGTGGGGCTCCTGTCCCCTCTGAGTCCTGCTATCGCTCACCCCCTTCTTCCCTAACACTCCCTGTGCTCTGCCCAAAGTTGGGCTGTGAGTCACCTGCTTCAATCCCCGCTGGGTGGAGTCTTTCAGAGGACGCCTGTAGTAGACTCCCACCGTTTCCTTTCTTCAGCCACTTCCTGTGTCTGTCCTGTTTGCCCTTCCGAATGAGAATTAAGCCTCTTCCCTAGGGTTCTCCTTGTTGTTTAGCTTCTTTAGGTCTGTAGTTTTTAGTATGTTTATCTTATATCCACGTGTAAGTGAGTACATACCATGTGTGTCTTTCTGTGTCTGGGTTACCTCACTAAGGATGATCTTTCCTAGTTCCATTCATTTGCCTGCAAATTTCATGATTTCCTTGTTTTTAATAGCGGAGTAGTATTCAATTGTGCAAATGTACCACAATTTCTGTATCCATTCTTCAGTTGAGGGACATCTAGGTTGTTTCCAGATTCTGGCTATTACAAATAAAGCTGCTATGAACATGGTTGAGCAAATGTCATTGTTGAATGATGGAGCATCTTTTGGGTATATGCCCAGGAGTGGTATAGCTGGGTCTTGAGATAGCACTATTCCCTGTTTCCTGAGAAAGAACCAGATTGATTTCCAAAGTGGCTGTACAAGTTTACATTCCCACCAGCAATGAAGGAAGGTTCCCCTTTCTCCACATCTTCTCCAGCATGTGATATCCCTTAATTTTTTTTTTATCTTAGCCTTTCTGATGGGTGTAAGATGGAATCTCAGAGTCCTTTTGATTTTCATTTCCCTGATGACTAAGGATGTTGAGCGTTTCTTTAAGTGTTTCTCCACCATTCAGTATTCCTCTGTTAAGAATTCTCTGTTTAGCTCTATTCCCCATTTTTAATTGTATCATTTTGGTATGTTGGTGTTTAATTTCTTGAGTTCTTTATATATACTGAATATTAGCCCTCTGTCAGGTATAGGATTGGTGAAGAGCTCTTCCCTGTCTGTAGGCTATTGTTTTGTTCTGTTGACAGTGTCCTTTGCTTTACAGAAGCTTTTCAGTTTCATGAGGTCCCATTTATTAATTGTTGATCTTAGAGCCTGAGCTGTTGGTGTTCTGTTCAGGAAGTTGTCTCTTGTGTCAATGAGATCAAGGATCTTCCCCACTTTTTCTTCCATCAGCTTTAGTGTGTCTGGTTTTATGTTGAGATCTTTGATCCACTTGGACTTTAGTTTTGTGCAGGGTGATAAATATGGATCTATTTGTGTATTTCTACATGTAGATATGCAGTTAAACCATCACCATTTGTTGAAGATGCTACATTTTTTTTTCCATTGTATGGTTTTGGCTTCTTCGTCAAAAATCAGGTGTCCATAGTTGTGTGGGTTTATTTCTGTGTCTTCAATTCGATTCCACTGACCCACCATTCTGTTTCTATGCCAGTACCATGCAGTTTTTATTACTATTACTCAACAGTACAGCTTGAGATCAGGGATGGAGATACCTCCAGAAGATCTTTTATTGTAGAGGATTGTTTTAGTTATTCTAGGTTTTTGTTTTTCCATATGAAGTTTAGAATTATTCTTTCAAGGTCTATAAATAACTGTGTTGGTATTTTGATGGGAATTGTATTGAATCTGTAGATTGCTTTTGGTAAGATGGCCATTTTCACTATGTTAATCCTACAGATCCATGAGCACAGGAGATCTTTCTATTTTCTGGTTTCTTCTTCAATTTATTTCTTCAGAGACTTGAAGTTTTTTTTTTTTTCATACAAGTCTTTCACTTGCTTGATTAGAGTTACACCAAGATACTTTGTGGGTTTTGTGGCTATTGTGTAGGGTATTGTTTTTCTAATTTCTTTCTCAGCCCAAACTTTTGTCCTAACTTTTTTCTCAGACAAACTTTCTCAGTTTGTCTTTTGTATTCAGGAAGGCTACTGATTATTTTTTTTTTAGTTAATTTTGTATCCAGCCACTTTGCTGAAGGTGTTTATCAGCCGTAGGAGTTCCCTGGTAGATTTTTGGGGGTCATTCATATATACTATCATATCATCTATGAATAGTGATACTTTGATTTCTTCCTCTCCAATTTGTATCCTCTTGATCATTTTTAAAGAGACAGCCTAGATGTTTGAATATGTAAGGCTGTGAGACTTTTTAAGTTTGTAAAATGTTTATATTGTGATGTCTTGATAATGTGTCTTCTTGGGGATGAACAAGAAAGGAAAGGGTGTGACTTAGCAGTGATGTGTTTATGTATCAAGTTGACAAGGGGTCCGTTGTGCTGGCTGATTTATGTCAGTTGACACAAACTGTAGTCATCCGAGGGGAGGAAACCACAACGGAGAAAATGCTTCCATAAGATGGGGCTGTGGGCCTGGAGAGCATTTTCTTAATTAGTGATTGATGGGGGGTGGGCTCAGCCATTGTGGGTGGAGCTGCCCTGGGCTGGTGGTCCTGGTTCTATAAGAAAGCAGGTGAGCAAGCCGTGATGAGCAAGCCAGTGAGCAGCCCCCTCCATCAGCTCAGCAGCCTCCCTCAGCTCCTGCCCCCAGGTTTCTGCCCTGGTTGAGTTCCTGCCCTGACTTCCTTCAGCGGTGAACAAGCTGTGGAGGTGTGAGCCAACCAAACCCTTTCCTCCTCAGTTTGCTTTTGGTCTTGGTGTTTCATAGCAGCCATAGAAACCCTAAGGCAGACGCTGTCTGGGTGTGGTGATGAAGGTGTCCCGGGTGACAGGGATTGTCTGAATGCCTTCCACATGTGGGTGCACACGGTGGCCTGGTAACCAACTGGCGGTGCCATTTATGGAGAGGAGGACCCTAGATGTGAAGAGGACAGGGTAGAGGTAAGATGACAGATTTAAGACCTATGAATCTGTGGTGGAAGGTTTGGTCTGTATACTTGCAAGAGAGTTGGTGAGGATTCAAGCTCAAGGTCTATGCAGATGGTATTAAAGCTACACAAATAGGTGTGCTTAGTGAGGGAGAATGAGAAAAAAGGCGAGCCGTACGGGTCTCCTCCCTTCACTCTGAGGTCCAACCATTGACCTCAGTCACACTGGTCACCTCCTGAGAAGTCAGCATCATGACGGCTGGTGATGTCTGCCGTGGACCAATGCTCTCCCCACTTCCATTTCCTTCACTGGCAGTTCCGTGGGACACGGTTGTACCTACACTGTATGCAGTATTCATTTTGTACGCCCACTGTCTGGGTACTCGGGGGTCCACACACATGGGGTCTCTGGCCTAAATGTCCAGAGAACTCCACGTTCTCCATAAGGCCATTTAATTAAGTAACTGGCCTCTCCCAGGGGCCTCAGCCAGAAGACAGGAGTATTGGCAAACAGGACTGTCCGGGGCAGGAGAGGGCTTGGTTCTCTGTACACGTGTCAGGCTCACATTTGTTTTCTTCCTAAGCCCACAGACAGCGGCGTGTATGCGCGAGAGTGCAGACTCTCCTTGCCCACAGACTGAGCCGGCTGCAGGTTAGGAAGAGCTGAAATCAAGTTGCGCCTCCCTGACCGTGTGCAGACCCTGTTCCGTCATTAGCCACCAATGGTGCAGCTCTGTGTGTGCCTCAGACACTGTGAGGCTGTGGCAGGTGGTCCAAGCCCAGGTTCTGAGAAGATGCTGCAGCGTGGATCTTGTGTCCACAGGGGATCCTTAAACAATCTCCTGAGGATACTAAAGAGCATCTGAAAAACCGTTAATGTTTTTATTCTTTGACAATTTCATATGTAATGTATTTCGGTTATTTTCACCTCCCTTTAGCCCTCTCATCTCCCTCCCACTCCCCTCAAGTCTTTTCTTCTAACCAGTACACACAGACTTTCTACTCTCATGACTGTTCATCCTGTTTTGGTATGACCCAATGAGTTTAATCAGGGTTGCCTGTTTGAGCTTGGATCATGGGCAACTTACCAGTGGCTATACAAAGGACCCTGCCCTTCCCAGCAACTGTTAATTGCCAATAGCTCACAAAGGAAGGTTGGACCCTCCCAAGGCTCTTTGAGGTTCATGACGGAATGTTGGTAGGGGCAGGTGTCTCCTGCGAGTCTTAGGGAGATAAGTTCTTGGGTATAACAGCCATGTCACGTCCAGAGCACAGGCCCCCCATTCTCCGACCCCTCTTCTGCAGTGACCCCTGAGCCACAGGGAGGGTCGATGGAAGTATCCCTAGAACCTTTGCATTTTAATCTGTGTATTTGCAGCTGATTAATTCCAGGGCCCTGTGAGTTCTGAGCAAGCTCTCTCTCTCTCACTAAGCCACAGCCCCAACCCCTGCAAAGCCTTTTACATTGCAATCTAGGTTGCAAAAGAGGAGGCCATGAGGGGTTTTCACAGACCACCTAGTCCTCGATTTTCATGTGTGAATCAGTTATGAGCTGCTGAGAGCTTCCAGGCTCTGCCTTTGCTCTGAAGTTCATCAGGTCAAGTGTGTGCCTTTTCTCTCTATTTTCTCTTACAGTCGGATGTCATGGATCAGAACTTGTTAAATTTCCTTCCAGAACAAGAACATTCCGAAGTTTATAAACTACTTTCCTCCCATATGCTTGTGACGGATTCCCCCACCCCGGAATTCCTAAAATGTAAGTTCTCCTTCACTGGATCTAAAGGCAAGAATTTAGCTCTAGCTTGTGAAAGGAGGTCAGAATGAATTAAGAAGGGAGGACTAATTTTAAGAATAATTTTCCTCGTGACTCAGAACGTTTCCAAGTTCCTTTGAGGTATATTTTAAGTTGGAGCTAAAACTGGAACTTGGAGCATGTAAGACATCTTGGCTTTTATGTGGAGAAGTTGAAAGTACAGCTTCAGAATAATAACATGTTTCGCATGTATGACAAGAGATGCCTTTTTACATGAGGATAATAAATAGGGCAAAATTCAGTGAGCAGACTGCTGATTTTAGGGACCACTGAAATGCAAAGGTTTCCAAGATAGCAGGTAATCAAGTGCTAATTGAATAATTAGGTCAGAAGTCCATATTCTGTCTTTCTGTGGCTGTCATCTGGTTATTTATATACATGTGCAATTTTATGGAAGTTTGAGGTTTATATCAAAATATTTGGCAACCTAGATAGAAGGCGGGCCCTCCGTGTGTGCGCACCACGCGCCACTTAGTGAAGCATAGGCAATCGCAGGCGGTAGCAAAGATGCTTGCATTTGCTCAAGCCTCAGTCCATTTCCATGCATAATTGGTCCCATCGTACATCTGATTTTCCTTCAAAGCAAAGCAGAAAAGATTGAATTAAAGACAGTGGCTCTATCCGAGCAGCTTTATTTTAGTATGCCATGTGAAAACAACCAGAACTAATCAAAGCAGACATAGCCAACCACAGGCATCTGTGGGCAAATTGACTAATTGGGTCCAAGTCTAGAGAGAGGAATATGTATGAGCTATGGAGAGGAAGGCCTGTAGCTGTAAGGGTTAGAAACCAGGTCTAGCAGTGCGCCAGAAGCCAAAAACCACGCCGGCCATGCGTGGAGGAAATCACAAAGGCGCGATTTATTTAGTCTGGAGTCTGTGTAACGTCCCTCTCTCTCTCTCTTTCTTCTCCCTTTAACGGCCCAGCTGACAACGATTTAGAGTTTTATTGCCATCTTCTCAGAGGCAGCTTGAACCCAAAGGAATTTCCAACTTATGAATACATAAAATTTGTAGGAAATTTTCGCTCTTACAACAATGGTAAGCTTTAATTGTCCTGTCCTTCCAATGGTGTCTTTTATCATGCAAACATGCATGTGAGGTCCTAAGAATTGTTTTGTGTCTGTGTGTGTGTGTGTGTGTGTGTTCGTTCGTTCGTTCGTTCGTTCGTCATGTTCTCTCCTATTCAAGGACACATCCTCCACCAGTTTCTGTCAGTGTGCTCACTGAATGGGATGCATTTATTTGTTTTCAGGCTGGTGGGAGAATTCTGTGCAATGAGAAATAGCTTACAGTTAATAAAGAACAGACTCGGCCTTCATAGTCTGCCCAGCTGCTCTGTGCCGTGACACCCCGATCTGTCCCCTTGCTCCCTGCATGCCTCTCTCCTGTTCTGGCCTGCAGAAAGCCTGGTGGAATAGGCCTGGTTCATGGTCTTCCTTCTCTGTGGCTCCTGTGCACAGGAAAGGGGCTGTTTTACCATGAGCCAGGAACCTAAGTTAGTTAAATTATCAAGCGGAAATCAATCTTCTTCCCAGAAACCAGCACAACCAATTGCCCAACCTCGAGCTGCGGAGACGTGAACCTAGACTACATCTAACCACTCGTTCTTACTTGTGCCCCACACTGAAAGGGGACGCAGGTCCAGAGGCAGAAATTTCAAAACCAAGTTTCAGTCTGGGCAGAGCACGGCGAGGCCTGCTTCTTATTTTCTGTGGCCCTCAAACTCAGCACAGAGTAGAAAAGCTATTACTTCATAAAGCAGCAAGGGGTGGGGAGGTGGCGGGCAAAGAGAAGGAATGATTTCAGAAGGAACCGGTGGGCTGCCGAGCTGCCGGGCTTCCTGGAGGAGCGCTGCCTGTGGGAGGTGCAGGGAGCACTTGAGAACAGCTCTGACTTCCGCTGCTGTAGCTACTGCCGTTGCCGGGACCAACCGACTGCTACCCCAGCCAGATTAGCCCCGGGTCCCAATGGAGGAAGCCGAAGTGGTCCTGGCACCACAGCCTAACACTGAGGCCAAGCAAGATAGTTTGTTTTTCCTTCCACCCTAAACGATCCTTGGCTGCATGCTCTCTGAATAAGCACACATTCCTGAGTAGGGTGAGCCTGCCAGAGTGGTTTAGGTCCTGGCCCATGGAGTTTGCCGGACTGTGGCTTCAGGGCTGGCTTGGCCCTTCAGAGGACCAGTCCACCCAGGGGTCCATGTGGCCATGGTGGTAAGCGATAGTGGGGATGGGGTGGGCGTTCATGCTCCTCAGTGGGCACCCAGGTCTAAATAAAACCAAGGCTTGACTGGCCGACCTGACCGATCTGGCTGATCTGAAAGGCTCTGTCAGTCTTCTGAGACAAAGTCACACAGAAGTAAGTGGTAGCTCGCAGGCTGCCTGGCTGGAGAAGTTGACACCTGGTAGAAGAGCCAACACCAGGCCAAGCCTAGAACAGTGACTCTCTGGTGGAGGCAGCTTATTAAAATGAAAATTCTTGGGCCTCATTCAGAGATGCCAGTCCAGGGTACCCAAGGCCCAGGACCATGCCAGCAGAAAGCCGTGGGAGGGGCTCTGCCCCCAGGAGTCCTAGACTTCCAGAGCTCAGTAGCGGATCATTCCTGCTCCTTCTGATGGCTTTATCACTGAATATAAGTGGCTGCTCAGAATAGGCTTAAAATGCATGTGCTGGTTTGTTCAAAACAAAACCTAACTGGTGTGTAATGCAGTCACGCCGCTGCCGGGAACACACCTGAAAGAAGTGTCAGCAGGGCTTGAAGCGTTTGCGCACGTGCACAAAGATTTGCCGCTGCTAGACGTCAGAAGCAGCCCAACTGTTCACCGTGTGTGAGTGGATAAAGAGAAGTGTGCAGTGTCGTTACCGTGGACCACTACCCGGCCTGGAAGAGGAGGGGGATTCGGGCACGTGCTGAAACGTACAAGAGCTCTGAAGAGCGTTGTCCTGAGTACAATAAACCTGTCACAGAAGGGCAAAAGTGTGACTCCACGCACAAGAGGCACCTAGCACAGTTGAGTTCGCAAGGATAAAGTGATGGGTGTCTGCCAAGGGCTGGGGAAGGGGCGTGGGGTGCTGCTGAGTAGGTATGCAGTTTCTGTTTTACAAGGCCGAGTTCGGCTGTGAGTGTGCAGACATGTTCGGCCCTGCTTACGTGCACATTTAAATGCAGCACAGAGACCGGGACGGAGCCGAGTGGAACGGTCAGTCCCCAACGCCAAAAAAAAAGGTGGGGGGAGGTGCTTTCTCGTAATCTCTGTGACTGTCAGCTGTAGTGGCAACTGCTACAGTCACAGAAGATCCTCAGAGAGACACCCTGGCTCTCAGACTGAGAACCTCGGTCCTGCTTCTGCGTGGCTCTGAGTCAACAGGGCTCAGGTAAAAGACCGGCTTGTGATTGGCTGGTGAGCGGCCGCCCTGTGCATTTCTCTTCCTAAAAAGCTTCCGAAGAGCGCTTGGAACCATCCTGTCCTGTGTCGCGTCTTAGCAGGCTTCCGGGAAGCGGGCTTCGTCCTCAACTCCCGAGTTGGGCTTATATTTTTATCTTTTAAGTAGCAGGCCTTTTTTTTTTTTTTTTTCCACTCCAAGCTGCGACAGTGTTTGTTTGTTTGTTTGTTTGTTTGTTTGTTTGTTTGTTTGAATGTGTGGAGATTATGTGTGGCTTTTTTTTTTTAACTTGCTGCTACAAACACACAGCGTCAAAAGCAGAAATGTTGAAGCCAAGAGCACAGTCTTCCTCTAGAACGTCTTATATGAGCTGAAGTCAGGCATGACCAGGACAAGAGTCCCTGAGCATAGATGATGACCTTGGCATGCACGCAGAAGATCTGAAGTGAAGAGCACAGTCTGACTACGGTGGCACATGATTCTAATGTCCCCTTCCACCGCAGCCAGGTGACTAGAGAAAGCCATAATGTACTGCTCATTTAAAACTCTAGAAGAGGGCTGGAGAGATGGCTCAGAGGTTAAGAGCACGGGCTCCTCTTCCAGAGGTCCTGAGTTCAATTCCCAGCAACCACATGGTGGCTCATTACCATATGTGATGGGATCTGGTATGCAGGCAGAACAGTATAGACACAATAAATAAGCAAGCAAGCTCTAGCAGAAAGGACCTTGTGTTCATCCCCCACAAGGACGTGATCAGTGGTTGAGGAGACATCAACCAGTGCTCACCCTGATCTGAGCATTACACAACACACGAGCAACATCCCCGGGTCCTCCTTAGTGTATACAGTTGTTAGTTGACAACCTCAAAAGAAAGTGCTAAAGTGTGGCTGGGGAGAGAGGGCCCTGGGCCCTGGGCTCCATCTCAACAAGAGCAGGGGAGAGGGAGGATGCTGCTGAGCCGCTGAGAGCTTTTGGAGACCCTCACAGTGTGTACGTGAGGGTTCTGCCTGCCTTCTTGTAGACTCTGGATGACATTTCGGGATTCCCCCAGCTTGCTGACCTTTGACATGGGTGGGATGGGAGGGGACATGAAAGCATGGAGGGGGAGAGGCATCCCTCTGCACTCTCTGCTGAGATGATGCTTTCTCATGGCAGTTTTGGGACTCGCTGTTCACCGTGGTCCACCATCCCGGTTCACTGGGCAATATAAACAACAGCGGTTGCCCAAAGGCCTGAGAGAAACAGGATTTCTCCTAATATCTGCACAAGGAGCTCATTCCTTAGGAGAGGGCACCGTTGGTCCCCAGTGTTCTAGAAGGAGATGTTAAAGCACAGGACTTCTACCCAACGTGTATTTGATGTGTGTGCTGGGAAATGCGGCAAGACACTAGTTCTTTTAGGTGTGTTTCTGGCCTGTCTGGCAAAGGCTCCTGAGGAGTACAGACTGGAGTGGGTGAGCACAGGTCCCGCCCTTTCCCACAATCCCCCCTGGTGGAGAGCGGCGGCGGGGTGGTCACTGATCACCACAGCACTGCCTTCCTCTGCTCTGTGCGGTGATAGCTTCCGGAGTGTCGCTAAAACAAAAAGACCGAAACTCCGGCTGTGCCATGATAGATGTTCTGCGCAATGCAAGACAAGAAGGCTGCTCTTGGGCAAGCGCACTGCCCCATCTTTTCGCTCTCCTCATTAAACACGGGGTCAGGAGGAAAACCCCACGTGCCCGAGGACCAAGTCCTACTCCTGCTTCGGTGGGAAGAAACTTCGAAAGGAGTTTCCAGAACACGACAAGCATCTCTGCTTTAAGGGGTCCTACGTAGCGCGTCCTGCTCCTGATAGCCCACTCCGTGGCAAAAAGAAAGCCATGCTCCGTTGGGCCCTCCCACAGCCCGGGCTGTGCATCTGACTGAAATCCAGAACACAGTATTTCAAAAGCTGCTGGTGTGGTTCCAAATAGGTCACCCTCAGCAAACATTCCACCCGGGCTTTCCAGAAACCACACAGCAGCATATAAAAGTTTCCCTGCCCTCATTTTACCGACTTGCCTCTAACCACAGCGCCAAATTGACGTGCTGGCAGGAGCCAGGGCCTTTCAGCGTCCAGCGCTCGGTTCCATGTATTCCCGGGATTTCTGTAGGTCGCCTGGCTGTGAGGTTGTTGCTTCTGCGCTTTGTTTCTCCCCTGTGCTAAATTCATTAAGACATCTTGGCTCAAGAGATCAAGGCGCAGGCACACCCAAGCTCCCATGGGCACAGAGGCAGGAGTGTGGAAACCTCTCTGTGGGGTGTCTGAGGAGACCATCACTGGCCACTCCCAGCTGGAAGTGAAGCATGTCCTTCCCAGCCAGGCAGCGTGAATCCTCCCTCAGTGGTACACAGGCTAGACAGCAGTGAGGTTCAGATCGTGGTTAATAACAAGCCGTTATCAAAAGCCATGGTCCCACACCGTCATCTGTGGTCCGTGCTAGTGGAGCGATGAGTACTGGACACGTGTGTATCAAGTGTGTCTTTCTGTTCGCTCTCCTCTGGGAGTGCAGAAGCTGCATGTGCATGGTGGTCGACAACTTTAACTGCAGATAGGCCAAAAACAGCCAGACAGGATAAGGGCTTCAAGGGGAAGTTTCCTCAGCATATGAAGAATTTACCCCCACTCACACCACCCCTCAGGTGTCCTAACTCCATTACCAAAGCCCTGCGGCCCCCCCGAAAGCCCCAGTGAATGCCAAGAAGTAGGAGATATTTAAATGAGACATGCAGCTTTCCTTTCAGGCAATGTTTTGTTGTTTTCAGTTCAGCAAACTGCAAAGCTTGGCTTTCCTTAGAGCCCTTACCTCCTCCCCACATTTTAACTCTCCTTCCTGCTAAGCTGACCTGGCAGAAATAAGAGGAGCAGAGCATCCTGTGAGCTGGGTAGGTGGTGCTCGGGCCAGGAGGTGGCAGAGCAAGTCCGCTGACTGTTCAGAACAGACCCAAGAACACATGCTGCAAAGGAGTCTGGGGTCAGCCCTCCGTCAGTGGGAGAGGATGGCTCAGGAGTGGAATGAAAAGTCTTCTTCTCAACAGGCCCAAACCATAACCAAACATGTAGGATATCTGTCAATCAAACTTAGGAGGTTTGGAACCCCCCTCCGCCTGCAGAGAGAGCGCTCCGACTGCCGAGCCATGGCTGTCCAGACACCCACCAGCTCTGCTTCCCATCTGTTTCACGCACCTTTCTTTCCATGTGGAAGAGTCCTGTGCTTTCTTACAGACCTTGCAAGAAGTGAATCAGCAGCTTGTCCGAGGAGAGGGTTTAGCGGAGATGACTGAGCGGCTGGCTTGTGGGCCCAGATCAGAGCATCTTCCTCCTGAACTTTCTGCTGACTAACATTTGCTGTCAGCTCAGATCCTCCCATCCTTTCCTCAACCCCAGGAGATAAGTTCCTAGCGACCCAAGATCTCCCAGCCTTGGGTCCTTGTCATGACTGACTTGGGAGGTCACCTTTGCCATGGGACAGAATTGGGAGCCCATCTCAGGTGTGTCCCCAGGAAACAGAGTTAGTCATTCTGAGTCTCCACAGAACCTTGGGACTTTGTGACACTCCTGAGAATTCCAACCCAAAGCAGAACTCTTGCAGGGCATCTAAGTTAGAGGCTGTCTTGAAAAGCTCAGAGCTTGAGAACCTTTGCACTGAACATTTCAGTCTGCAGATCTGAAGCGGCATCACCCTGCATCTCCCCAGGCAGGGCCCCCGGTTGGGCACTCCTGCTGTTTGTCACTCCTTGATGGCGATCGCAGCATGTAATTCCCAGCCACCATCTTGCTCAGGCCTCCTCTAGGCTGGTGTTCATCCCTTATGTCATGCTGGGAGAGCCGAGACAGGGCTGTGCCCGGCAAATCCTCCTGAGAGGTAAGGGAGCCAGTTGTAATTAGACATATTTCTTTTCTAGCATTTAAATCAAAACAGGTAATCGAATCCTTAATTAAGAGCTTTAAACTACCTCGGGATCTGAAGTGCCTGAGAGTTATTCTAAGTGCTGAAACTCTGAGGGCCAGAGTGCGCTGTGCACGTGTGTTGTCTCTGGGACATGCAAGGAGCCTTATGTTCCAAGTGAAGAGTCATTTCACACTCACCCTGCAGTGTGTAAGGGAGCTGCCTCCAGCCCTTCCTCTCAAGGCCTTCCTCTTGGCCTCTATCGCCCTGGATCAGGCTTTCCGATGCCTGAGGCTTTCCGTGGGAAAAACTTGCTTGGAAAAGCAGACACTCGGTTTGGGGCCCATCTGTAGAGTATTCATCCAAGCACAGACTACCAAGAATAATGGAACTCCCTTGGCAAGAGGGGGAAGGGACAATTTTACCTTTGAAGTTATAAAAGAGCAGATAAAACTGTGTTGGAAGGCCTCCAGGCAAGTGGAATGTCTGCAAAAATACCACTTAATGGCCACCACACCAAGCTCTCCTTCTCTTGAGAAAGGAACATGCCTTAGGTGGGTGTTTAAACTTCTCCATCTCCTGCCCCCCTTTCACGGGAAATCAGGGAGAAGGCTCTCGAAGCATGTGGGTTTAATTGCCACAAGGTGGCTCTACCAGGAGCAGCAGATAGAGGAAGAAGGACCAGGCCTTCCTCCTAAGTTTCCTAGGGAGTCCTCGGAAATTTCCTCCAAGTTCTCGGTATTCCAAAAGGAGTCGAGAGAATGTTATTAGGTCATTATCTGGCCGGGTAACGTCTTTTTGATTCGAGCAGAGAGCATTTCACATCTGGGAAATTTCGAATGTCTTTTTTTATTGCACAGATGTTCACATCTGCAGCCCTTCCCTTATGTGGGGTTGTTTTCCTTCCCCTTGACAAAGCCCTTGGCTCATCACACAAAACAAATCTACGCCAGGCTCAGTCAGCTCGCAGCAGATGTAAACTCTCTCGAGACCACTATTTTTTATTTCACTCACTTTGTATTCGTGTTTGGAAACATTTATTAGTATTTATGTGAGTGAATTCAGAGAATGTGTTTGGTAAAGTGAATTTGGTGGAGAGAAGATCACATTATAGAGTCATTTACAAACCTATAAATATAGAAGACCAAAAAAAAAAAAAATGACTGGAAAGCTACACTATAATCCTGCAGATTCCGTTTTAAAATGCATTTGCTTTTCTGATGTTCCATATGCTTTCGGTTAAATTGGAAAGTGTAATGGTGCTGAGATCTGTGGGTTTAGGAAGCACAGGTTATACCATCATCCCTCATTATCCAGACGACTCAGACACACCAAGACCCATGGGTGCTGGAGTCGAGTCCCTTGTTTAAGCAGTGTGGCATTTTCATATCGCCCCCATAGCCCATATATCTTAAATCATCTCTAGACGACTTACACTGCCCAGCACAATGTAAATGCTCCATGAATAGCTTAGGGCATAATGATGTTGAAAAGGTGTGTGTGTGTGTGTGTGTGTGTGTGTGTGTGTGTGTGTGTGTGTTTAATAGACATAGAGTTGCTTATTTTAGATATTTTCAAATATATGGCCTCCATAGTTGCTCCATTTTTCGGATGTAGAAGCCTAGGTGTAAAGCACCAACTGTAACCACTCATGTATTTTAAAGAGAAGGTCATACGGCCTCCAACTCAAGGGATCCTCAGCGCTGGCCATATGGTGGCCAGCCAGTGGAGCTCTGGAAAGTACCCATGCCTAGGTTATTCCATCTGGACAGAGCAGAGACAGCCAAACCAGAGGTCCCAGGGTGCCAGCCACACGTTGGAATCTGAGGATTCTATGGATGGGCCAAGCTGGTTATTTTCACATTTAACTGAGTTCGTTCCTCACCTCAAAAAATTCAATATTAAGATAATAGGCTTTTTTTCTGGCCCAAAAGGTTCTCTACAGTCATGCTGAAGAAAGGTCTGGTGGTCCCAGGCAGAGCTTCTCCAGGCCAAGTGGGAGCCTGGGTTCATTGGTGGCCACGTGTTAGAGCCAAACCCTTTACTCCCTGAGGAACTGGACTTACACAAAGACCTGCGTGGCTCTCGCTCTGTTAGCTTCTGTCTCAGCAACCTTTCAGGGACTCAGATTCCGCCCCTAAAATGATGGCAGTAATGTCTTCTTAGACTCGTGAGAATGAACTGACGGGCTTGTGGAGAGAAAGGCTGTCATGCCTTGTTCAGCTTGTTAACAACGTTTAGCAATGACTCCAACTTGTTCTGATTCAGAGTTTCAGAGTTGGGTCTGTGATCCCTTGTCCTGTAGCTCTGAGGCCTGTGGTGAGAGATCAGCACGTCAGGGGACACGGCAGCCCGCTCAGGTCATGGCTGGAAGAGCGACAGTGGGGATGAAACCAGAGTCTGACAACCCCTTTCAGGCCCCCAGGAGCCAAGAACGCTCCACTGAGGGCCACCTCCCAACAGCACCAGACTGGAAACCAAGACTTGACTCCAGGGATGTGGAGGACATCCCAGATCGAGGCCATAACTACTCACATCTGGAGGACTCCTCCACAGCGGCCCCACATCATCAGAGTTTCCCTAAGATGAGGTTTGAGGCAGAGCCCTTCCTGCAGATGAAGATGCCGCTTCAACTCCTGGGAGCATCCGTAACGGAGACACTGTGGGAGCATGACATTTACCCTTGAAATACCAGCCGAAGTCAGCGCCCAGGCCATTCCTGTAGAGCTGAGGTCCTCAACCTGTGGGTCTCGACCCCGGGGGGGGGGTCAAACAACTATTTCACAAGGATAGCATATCAGATATTTGCAGCGCGACTCATAGCAGAAGCAGAGTTACCGTTATGAAGTAGCAACGAACATAATTTTACAGTTGGGGTCCCCACAACAGGAGGAACTGGGTTAAAGGGTCACAGCTTTAGGGAGGTCAAGAGCCAGTGCCACGAAAGGGGGCCTTGTACTGCAGAGCAGTTTCCCCAACACAAGAAGCAAATCTGAAGAGCGTGGACAAGTGAGGGTCAGCGGGGTGCGGTGGTCAGTGGTTGCCATGGACTCGATTCTCAGCTCCGCCTCCAGGAACAGGGCGTGAGAAAAGTGCCTCAGTTTCTTCATCTGTGCAATGGGAACAGCAGGTGTCTCTACTTCATCAGGTCACTGTAAAAAGCTGATACACCCGGGAAAGCAGAAAGCGTCACCAGCCAGGGCTCACCCTGTGTCTTTCTCCTTCCCAGTGCCTAGCCCCTCCTGTAACGGCTTTGACAACACCCTTTCAAGACCCTGCCGCGTGCCCCTGGGAAAGGAGGTCTGCTTCATCGCCACCGTGCGTCTGGCGACACCACAGTTTCTAAAGGCAAGTTCCCAGCAGTGACGTCACATTGGGTTACACGTCACTGTCCTTCGTGGGAGAGCATGAAAGTGCAATGAAGCTAGTGTTAAGAATTAGTTCTCAGCCAGGCTCGGCGGCACACGCCTGTAACCCGAGCACTCAGGGAGGCAGAGTCAGGAGGATCTCTGTGAGTTTGAGGCCAGCCTGGTCTAACAAAGTGAGTCCAGGACAGATGAGGCTACACAGAGAAACCCTGTCTCGAGAAAGGCCCAGGTTCCTGTGGGTCATTTTGAGTGAAGGCAGCACCTGTTGCTGATGGGTCCCCAAGGATGCTAACCGCAAGGCCTCCTACCGTTGCACCATCATGGTGCAGGTGTGGCTCGGCTGTGAGTCAGAAAGTGTGAGCATGTACTGTATCCCCCTTGTGTGGTCCTACTTCACATCTCTGGGACAAGTGGACGGAATTAAATTTCAGATTCAGATGAAAAACCGTCTCCATGTGATTCCCGCAGTGCCAGATGAGGGGGAGAGGGGGAGAGGCGCCGTTTGGCTCCTAGGTACTTTTCCCAGCTTGTGAAATGAATTTGGGATCAGCTAATAGGGAAATTAGCTACAGATGACGAATTTTGTGGCTCAGAACAGCCTTGACTTGTGTTAGCCGTCGTTCATTCCTTTTGAACCGTCGTTGGGTGCACATCTGGCATCCTGAGCAGTGGTCTACTTTCTTTTTTTTTTTCCTTTTCCAACACAGGAAATGTGTGTAGCTGACGAACCTTTAGAGGAATTCACTTCGAGGCATAGCTTGGAATGGAAATTTTTATTTCTGGATCACAGGTTTGTGAGAAGAAAAACATATTTGAATTGGGTCCTTTTCAAGTGTTGTTTGCCTGAGCCGGGCTCCGCTTGGGAGAATAAAGTCCAGCCTGGTCCGCTGAAGGGGACGGCTCCTTGGCAGAGGAAAAGTTGTTCCCAGCAAAGGGGAAGGTCCGTGTCCTGATATCCATGTGCCTGCCCCATTAGTGCTTGGGTCCTATGTTCAGAGTTAGTGCCTTAGTCCCCAGACATCTGTGGGGGGGGGGGTGCCCCCATTTAGGCCATTTCTGTTTCCCAATTGGCAAAAGAAATGTGGGGAGAGAAATCCTCTGATTCCTTCCAACCCCTTTGAGTTGGGCAGCCCAGTTCCTTCTCTTTCCTTCCTAGCATTGCTCCCAGTTTATGAACTAGCAGCTTCCCTCCTCCTGTCCCCTGGGGGCACTGGGCTGGCCCAGCCTACAGCTGCTTTAAATCCTTCAATGCCTGTAAGTTCTTATTATTGTTTGGGCCAGACTATCCCAAGGAATGGAGTGCCTAGATGCTGAAATAAGTGAGTTCTTTATCAATATAGGCTCCCTGGCCCTAACTGTTGTCATAGTGCTGTTCCTGCCCCGGGTAGGATAAACGCAGCCTCCGTGCACTAAGCGTGCAAACTGAGCGTCACAGCCAGCCTGTGAGACCAGCAGTTCCCTCACCAAGCCCCTGTCTCCCTGCAGAGCCCCTCCAATCATAGGATACCTGCCCTTCGAAGTTCTCGGCACCTCTGGCTATGACTACTACCACATCGATGACCTGGAACTCCTGGCCAGGTGCCACCAGCACCGTGAGTACCACTCAGCAACCTGGCCTTGTGTTTGCTATACAAGGGCCCAGGCAGCAGGACCCTGTGCCCCTGGAAGTCTGCTTGCCCCAACGGGGCCAGGCATGGTGCTCCGAGCGGCAATCGTGAGGACGAGCGGGTTCTTTCCTACACTTAGGGTCCTGCTTGAGCTTGGCACTGATAGCACCCTCTCCCCAGCCACATCCCACTGCCACCCACAAAGTCATGTTCTTTAACCCTAATCAAGAAGCTAAGGCAGGGCTGGACTTTCCTTTAGGCTATAGAATGAGCCGGGAAGACAAAATACCAAATGTTCTCCCTGTTCTTTCGTCAGCGGTCAGATGGTGGTCACTGACCACCACAGGCCTAAGCTGGGTCTTCTGTCCTCAAATGCAACATTCCTGAAGCAGTGGTTTCACAGCTAGAGCTTCCCAGTAAAAGTCCCTTTAGACACACACCCAGAAGATGCTAGTCACCGCGGCCAGCATCTTCTGGCTGCCCTCCAGGGCAGCGCCTGCTGAGAAATCCAGAAGGCCACTTTCCAGGATGCTGCCAGTGTGGAAGGGGTGTGTGCAGGCTCCTGAGGGGTTCGGAGGGCCCCTCCACAGCTGACGGTAAAGTCTGAGAGGGCTCTGTGCCACAAGCATTCGGGGTAGGCCTCATGCCATGGGAAAACAACACTTACAAGCTTTTCTGGTTCTCGTTCACAAGAAGAAACAGCCTCTCAAGCCGTTTTTTCAGTGCCGATGATCAGCTTTGAGTAAGAACTGTGTCCGTGGCATTGAGCTATGGGTTCTGATGAAGGAACCATGGGCATGGATCTCTGGTAGATGTTAGGACTCTCTTGCCTGTGCCATCCTTGTTGATGGAGGAACGGGCTGGAATCTGCGTGTTCCAGATCTGCTGGGACATAAAGTTCATCTTGACCTTCGTCGCTCCTCAAAAGGTAGCATAGACAGCCGCACCAGGTCAGCTGCAGCTGCAGGCTCTCAGGCTCCCTGCACCAGGGATCAGGAATGGGAAAAGCCCTTTTCACAAGTCCCTCCAGCTGGTTGGTATGCACAATCAGGTTTCAGGCGCATAAGTGCTTTAAGCCCCGGGCTGCCTCTGACTTGTGGCATTGAGAAATCCCTTGGGTTGAAGAGTTACACTGGGCATCTGACAGATTTGCCCAGTGACTCTGGAAAGGTGTGCTTGCTTTGTAGCTAGAGCCCATGTGCCCACTCTGCTGGGCCTCTCTGTTCAGATCTGCAGGTTTTTGAGGCACAGGTTCCCTTTGCTAGCTTCGCTTTGCTAGGTAGGATTCCTCATGACTGTTTTTATTACAAGATGCTAAATTGCAGGCACAGTGATAATAAAATCCAAATTGGTCTTCTTCCTGGGATCCATAATTTATCCCTCTGCCTCACGTGAGCTAATAAACCACTGGCATGTGTTCTGTCCTGGATACCCCCCAAAGGAGCCATCTGCAGGCAGAACTACAGAGGCCCTAGGCAGCCTTGCAGCTGCAGGGGGAGGCTGGGGCCGCAGGCAGCCGACCAGACTCAGCTTGAAAACAGTATAGACTGAGCCTCGGCTGTGAGGACAGCTGCAGTCTCCTGGCCGTCCACTCTATTTTAGGTCCATTGCGCAGTGTCTGGATACTCTGTCCCCTGCTTAGCTCTTGAAGTTCCAAAGCCATCACCCCTGCAGCAGTAGGATGAGCCCCAAGCAAACTGGGGCCTCCTTGCCCTCAAACCTCCAGCTGGAAAAGCTGTCCTGTGTGCCTTTCTGGGTGGAGCCTTTGTGCACCCAGGAATGTATGGGATCATCATTGTATTGAGAATCCTTGGTCTGACTGAGCTATCACTAAGTCTCGGAGCCCTTGCCTAGTGGGCATGAGGCCTCATGCTCAACCCCCGGCAACCCCCCACCCCCATCAGATGTGGTGATAATAGTCCCTTAAGATACAGAGCAACCAGGGAAATGAGCAGCGTTTGGATTTCACTGTTCAGTCCCATGGGGGAAGGTCGCCTCTGCCTCAGCACGGTCACCTGAAAAGTCTGCTGTCCCTCCCCCAGTGATGCAGTTCGGCAAAGGGAAGTCGTGCTGTTACCGGTTCCTCACCAAGGGGCAGCAGTGGATCTGGCTGCAGACCCGTTACTATATCACCTACCACCAATGGAACTCCAAGCCCGAGTTCATCGTGTGCACACACTCGGTGGTCAGGTACGCACGCGCAGGCGCCTCTGTGGCGTGCCTGGGGGGTGGGCGGGGCCTCCCGGTTACAGGAGGGGCAGCGGCCACTGTAAATACACCCTGTAGGAGAGGGAGAGCTCCGCTGCCACCGGCAGCCAGCTGTGTAGTCAGAACTCAGCCCGCGCGCGCCCGGGGCACAGCCTCTTCCTCCAGCCCAGGGACTACCTGTGAGTTCTCAGGCAAGCCCCGCTGAGAGCTGCCGGGATATTATCACTTAGTAATTCCCTGCCTCGCTGACCTACTTACATATTTTCCCCTCATCTCTGTCCATCCCCCAGCTTTCCTGTGTTGCCACATTTGAGAAGAAAAGTAAAACGTTGCCTCCAAATAACTCAAACATGTACTTCTCTTTTTCTTTCTTTAAGGCTCTAAAAACCCCTTCTGGCAAGTGAGGCCATGTTAGGAGAACAGCTGGGCTGTCTGCAGGAAAGTAGCCCTGGGAGCCCTCAGGTCAGGGTGGATAAGCAGGGACCCAGAGGGTGATAATAGGTCCAGCGTGGCACAGATGTGTCCTGTGTGGGTTCCCAGCTCTCAGAGGTAAAGGAGACAAAAATGCCAAGAGGACAGCCAGCCAGAGGCTGCTGTAGAAGAAAGACTTCATGCCCAGCAAAGTGGCACATTCCCATAATCCTAGCATGAGGGAGGCTGAGTCGGGGAGATCTTAAGTGTGAGGCCAGCTTGGGCTAGAGGGTGAGACCCTGTCTCAGAAAAAAAAAAAATCTAATTCAATAATAACCACCCCTATATCAAGCATATTTTACATCTATATATTTGGCTAGCCACTGATGGAAAATATTTAAAAATAATTTATACTAAACATATGCAAGCACTTTCTCTTTTCACCGTTCTCTAAAGGAACACACTATACCAGCCATGGGTGAGGCATTTGCATTGCGCTGTTAGAGGAAAGCTACAGATGACTTGAAGTCTGCAGGAGGATATAGGCAGTGATGTGTAAACACTACCCTGTTTTATGTTAGGGACTGGAGCATCTGGGGGTTCAGTATCCAAGGGGTTCCTGAGTCTGGTCCCCACAGATACTGAAGGATGACTCTGTATGTGCGTGTGTGTATGTGGTGTGTGTATGTGGTGTGTGTATGTGTGTATTTGTATGTGTGTGTGTGTGAAGACAGATACACACCTATGCATATGTAACAATCTTGTTCAGTGCACAGAGAACAGAGGCGCCGGCTTTTGTCGGCCAATGACCTTGATCTCACTTCATTACATCTTGTGCCCACGCTCAGACTCATTTTCTCCACTTCCCAACCCATTCTTTTGGACATCCTCAGCCATTGGCTTGTGGCCTCATGGCCAGGGGTCACCCGAGACCTCTCAGCCTGTGTCTTTTCCAGAGAGTGGCTCAGTCCCCAGGAAAGGCTGGGTGCCATCCTACTCTCCTCTCTACCCTCCAAGTCATAGGAAGAAGCTAAGAGAGCATGGGAAATGAGCCCAGCAAATAAATAAGGGATCAAACACTCCAGATCTCATCACAGTCCCCTCCCATCCTGCAGCTCCACTCCTGAGTCTTTCTACAGTGCTCGGGAGATGGGTCCCTAGATTAGGCAGTGGTCTGGGTCTGGCTAGTCCTAGATTTCCTCTCTACGTATACTTCCAAATATACTGTCCATAATTAACATGTTGGAGGCACTGTTCTTAATTCTTTACAGCCAGAAGCTTATAAATAAATAAAAATGTACCTTAGAAGCTATTGTATCTAGAGATTTCAAAAAATGAAGGGACAGAGAGTTGTGGGGAGGGGGGGAAAACCATCCTGAAAATGGAAATACGTGGAATATACTATTAGACTCTTTGCGAGGCAATTAGGAGGGGATGAAACTCAGTCCTCTGAGCAGGTCACAGATGGGCTCCTTCATGCTGCATATTCCATGAGCAGTTTTTATGTAGAACGCCCCTGTGCCCCATTGGGGATCGCTTCCTGGAACGCCCTAGCTCCATTGTGCTCTGTCTCTTTTCCGAGCAGTTATGCAGACGTCCGGGTGGAAAGGAGACAGGAGCTGGCTCTGGAAGACCCAGCCACAGAGGCCGTGCACCCCTCTGCCCTGAAGGTGAGCTCACCCTGCCCCGAGCATAAAACCCAGGCGGAGTTGGGCAGCGGCACCCACCATGCTTGTTCTGGCGTGTACTAACGGAGCGAGATCAGACTTGCCTCTGCTGAGCACTTTCTGTGATTCACGCTGTGCTTGCTCGTTTACCTTTCGCGGCTGTCCTGTGAGTGACCACTGCGTGTTTTCTTCCTTCTGATGAGCACAGAAGCACGGGTACCCAAGGACATGCCTGTAAGAGTTGGCTCAGGAACAGCCTCTGGACTCAAGGGACGGCTTGGCACTGTTCCAGCCTTCCAGTGATAGCTATAAAAAGCCACACATAAAGTGCTGGGAAGTAAGTCCATGGCCCACTAGAGCGCAGAACGAGCCAAGCCCTTCCCTCCCTTAGTCTAAGCTTCACTGTGTTCTTTCCAAGCGTTAGCCTGTCCTCCTGCTCTTCCCGGTTGTGATCCTGCTTTGTAGTGCTGGGAATGGGATCCACGCAAAGCTCCTATCCTGCACCTTCCTGTTGTTTCTGAGTCGGTGTCACAAGATTTTAGTTAATAGCTGCAGCAGTGTCTGCTCTGTACAGGGAACACTGACATCAGTCCACAAACCCCGTTACCTCCTCCCTTCCCCTTCCCTGCGTTCTCCGGCCTCACCTGGCCAGGCTTTTCCTCCGGCAATGCCGAGGAACTGTGAAAATGGGCTACAAGTAGACCAGAGCCTTGGTCCTCAAAGCCACTCATAAAGCAAGCAGAACATTAGAGGACAAAGAGAAAAGGCGAGAAAGCAGAGTATTGTGTTTCATTAGAGCTAAGACACTAGAAGAGCAGTGTTATTTTAATGAAGCAAAAATGCTGCCTATCAATCTATGAAATAAGGATTTCTTTTCATTAGTTGTGGGCAAAACCCTTTTTTTGGATATGTTGAAAAGTAGGTGAATGCTGGTTAGCAGAGATGGTCCAGTTCGAGGGTGCCGAGGAATCTGAATTCCAGAGTCTTACCTGGGGCTCTGCAGCAGCCTGCCAGCCTGTCTGTGATCGATAAAGACTTGCTCATCCTTGGCAGATGAAATAAGGAGGAAGGAGAAATCGCCTTCCGAGATCAGAGAGCAGTGTCTGCAGAGGTTCACGGCCGCCATGTGACCTGTATGTGGCCTACGCAGGGCCCTGCATCCTAACTCGATGCTGCCATCACCCAGGGAAGCCGGTGTCACCCAGCTTGCCACAGCACAAAGGTCCTGTCAGAGAATGGAACTTGGCATTAGACAGGCATTAGACACACTGTCCATCACAGCCAAAGAGCAGGCATAACCTGTATCCGTCAGCCAATCAGAAACGTGTCACTCGGGTGTGGGGGTGACAGGGAAGCGACTCCTCTTGAAGTGAAGCTCTAGGATGTTGTTGCTCAGTCGTGTTTGGGGACGATGCCATGCCCCCTGGCAGACATGTTTGTGAAATGCACACTCCATGCTTGGGTGTGATATTCAGCGCTGACAAGCAAAGCCCCTCAATGTGCACAGTCACTGTCAGGCTGGGACCCCCCCACCTCGTACCCCTGCCCCCATGAAGCAGGGACACGTAGCTCACTATGTTCACGTGCAGTGACCCTTGGCCCAGCCATATCTGCAAAGCTTGTCACTAAGCAGATGAAACCTCCTACCACACAGAAAGGCAAGTCCTGTCATCTGTTTGGCATAAAGGCTTGTGGGTCGCATATAGGTCACTTCCGCCTCTTTACAGGTGCTCACACAACCACACATACACACACATATGCACACACACATGCACATACATGCTCACACAAACACACACACACACACACACACTTTATGGTGGCAAGCATCCTTCCTGAAGCCATGAATCCAAAGACAAAACAACACGTGGGTCACATACATGAAATTAAATACCCAGGTCAGGGGTCATACCAGTGGGTGCTGGCAGCTTCCGTCCTTCTGGGATGGAACAGGACTTGAGAGAATGAACGCTGTGTTTTCTTCTTCCACTCAAAAAATTGCCGTCACCTATTTGCATATACCATGACACCTTGGAGACATCAAGGGCAGGAGCCAGGCCACCGAAGCTGTCTTCTCGCTGGGGTAGAGATGGCCTGGAAGCCAGGACCCCTTGAGGAAAGCAGGAGGGACCACAGGCTCTTTGCCCAGGCAGAGAGCGAGCATGGGGGCAGCGTGGGAAAGGCCTCCTGGTGGCCGCTGCCATGTTAGCTGTCCAGGGCTGATGGCAGCAGCCTTATTTCGTTCTGGTGTCTCATTTCAGAAAGCCAAGGTTCTGGGTGGGGAGATGCCAATGTGAAAAGAGCAAAGCACAGCTCGGGGCGGGTGGAGGGATACGAAAACTCAAAAGAGATAAACGTAGCTCGTGGGGCTCAACCTCCCAGTGACGCTGCCTGCCGCGAGTTTCCGCTCTGCACGAACGTATTAGGATGCTTCCTAAGAAGAGTGTTTCGCTCAGTTCCTTCCAGAGTCTTCGACACGGGAGAACTAAAGTCTTGTCACTCATTCATGTGTGGAAGCGGAATGCTGAGACGTGGATTTTTCTATTTGTGTGTGTGTGCACACGTGTGTGTTTCAGGAAAAGGACGCCAGCCTGGAGCCCCAGCAGCACTTTAACGCCCTCGACATGGGCGCCTCGGGTCTTGCCAGCAGCCCTTCGCCCTCAGCCTCCTCCCGGAGCTCCCACAGGTCGTCCCGCACAGCCGTGTCAGAGCCCGCCTGTGAGTGCCTCTCCGTGCACGGTAAAAAGGGGGGTCCCATAGACCAGGGCCACACAGTGGGCCCAGGACACCCGACAGCCCACACTCTGCGCTTCACACCTGGCTGGCCACTCGTGTGTTAGTGAGGGTCTCCATTGGCACGATTTAAAAACCAAATAGACAGACAGACAGACACCCACCGCGACCGAAAAGCACCTGGAGAGGAAAGGGTTTATTTCATCTTCCATTGTAGCCTGTCATCCGGGAAATGAGGGCAGGGACTCAAGGCAGGGTCTGGTGTGGAAGCCACGGAGGAGGGCTCCTTGTGGCGGCTCCATGGCCTGTCCCTCGTGCTTGCCCAGCCTGCTTCTCATGTCATCCGGGACCACCCTCCCAAGGGTGGCACCACTACAGCAATCCCCATCAAGGAGGTGTGCCCACAGGCCAGTCTGGTGGGGGCGTTTTCTCCCTTGCTGTTGCCCCTTCTACAACGCGTGCAGCAGTGTCCCGCCGACGTAAGAACCAGCCAGCACATCTGTCATCAGCACCGCGGTGCAGAGGGCACTCGGTGCAGTGTCTGATCGGGCGGTCGTTGGTAATGGGGTGTCACGGTGACTGGCACCATCGTCTGCCCGCTTCCAGGCTGGGTGTTTACGGCTTGGCTTACGCGCCGCCTCGGAGGGCTCATCCTCAGTCCCCCCTGTCCTTCCTTGTGCTGGGATAGCTGGGAAGTACTTGTGAGTGAGAACGGCCGACTCTTGTTCTCTTCCAGCCACTCCAACCAAGCTGATGGCCGAGAACAGCACCGCAGCTCTGCCGAGATCCACACCAACCCAGGGGCTGCCAGCGCAGGGTCTCGGCCAGGCAACCGCTCTGCCGGTACGTGTGGGTCCCCCGTCCTCAGTGGGGGAGGGCTGTCTCGGGATGTGGGCTGATGAGCCACAGGAACACACTGAGTCTCTCCAGGGAGTCGGTTCTCCTGCGGGACTGAGGGATGGGGCTGGGGGCAGGGAGGGAGGATGTTGTAGGCAGGGGGCCATGAAGCCGTGGCGTTTATTTAGCAACCGATTTTAGACATCTTGCTACGAAATGAGCTCGGCTGTGCTCTTCCGAATACGAAATTCAAGCCATTTTAAGGTGTGCCTCCCATCACACCTCCCGCCGCCACGCCCTCCCGTTGCCGTCCTGGGCGGTGCTTTCTACGCTGTCTGTACTCCCTGGGGACTAGGTGCGTTTGAGGACGGCTTCAGAAGCGTCGTTACACTGAGCTCCTAAAAAACAACAAACAGGCCGAAGAGCTGGAAGTCCTGTCTCTTATTCACACGTTTCCCACCACCCAGCCAAGCAATCAGGGGAACAGGGAGTGGCCGGACATCCTGAGACCGAATCCTTTGGGGAGAAGAGTATCTTGGTCCTCACGGATGCTGTCTTATCTAGCACAGGGCAGCAGAGGGGAAACAGGCAGCAGTGGAATCATGTGGTCTCACAGTGCCTGAGGCTGTGTCCTCCATCAACCCTGAGTCAGTCTCTCTCTCTCTCTCTCTCTCTTTCTCTCTCTGGCTTTTTTTTTTTTTTTTTGAGACAGGGTTTCTCTGTATAGGCTTGGCTGTCCTGGACTTGCTCTGTAGACCAGGCAGCCTTTGAACTCACAGAGATCTGCCTGCCTCTGCCTCCCTGAATGCTGGGATTAAAGCCGGGCGCAGTTGGGCTGCTCTTAACTGCACAGCCTGCACAGGAGACAGTGCAGCCAGGAAATGGAGGCCTTGGCTTCCTAGAAGTCTTCCCCCAGGACTTGCAGCTGGAAATCCCAACCAGCAGAGAGCAAGCCCTGAGCCACTCGGAAGCAGTTGCTTAACAAAGGCCAATTCTCTTCCCAGGCTCCTCTGCCTTCCCCATCAGCCTGTGACCTCGCAAAGCAGCTCCTGCCTCAGACCGTTCTGCAGAGCCCGCCTGCTCCCATGACACAGGTGAGTCAGAGACGGGGACAGAGGGACGTTGTGTGAGTTTGTGAGTGTTTCCTCACTGCTGTGTGTCCCAACGTGTATCAACTAAGGCCCTAACGGGGTTTTGCCCCAAAGTCCACATGAGACGTGTCTAGCGATGGACCTCCTCATCACACCTGCCCTCCACTGCCGATCGTGTCTCCTCCCCTGGATCCAGTTTCCAGCTTCATAATTGTCTTTGTTCGTCACTCTGCTATTTGTCTGCATTCCTTTTTGTTTTACATGAGTCCAAATTTTAGGCAAGGTCTGAGTTAGACAATATGTCATAGAAAGGTTCTGGAAGCATCTAGAAGCTGTTAACCCGCTTAAAAGAGGGCGCACTTCCCGTCTGCTGAATAAACCCTCACTTTCAACAGCACTCTGTGAGTCCTGGCTTGGGTCGTCCGGGAAGAAGGCATCAGGGTGTGGGGTGCTGCTAACACAGCCTCGCCTGTAGTTGCAGACTCGAAGGGAGAAGTGGCCTTCACGGGGGCAGCAAAAACCAGCCCGTCTAGGGTGGCTTCCTTGAGTTGGCCCTGAAGAGTGGCTAGGAGATTGGTAGGTGAATGTGTGGGTGACAGGGAAATGAGACACCCAAATATGCACGTTAGAGGAGAGCTGTGGAACAGCTCACTTGCCTGGCGCAGGACAAGGTGAGGGTG